GGGTTATCCTGGGTGGCTAACACTCCCTACCCTGGGTTATTTTGGGTGGCTAACACTTCCTCCCCGGGGGTTTTACCCCGGGGTGGCTAACACTCCCTACCCTGGGTTATCCTGGGTGGCTAACACTTCCTACCCTGGGTTATCCTGGGTGGCTAACACTCCCTACCCTTGGTTATCCTGGGTGGCTAACACTTCCTACCCTGGGTTATCCTGGGTGGCTAACACTCCCTACCCTGGGTTATCCTGGGTGGCTAACACTTCCTACCCTGGGTTATCCTGGGTGGCTAACACTCCCTACCCTGGGTTATTTTGGGTGGCTAACACTTCCTACCCTGGGTTATCCTGGGTGGCTAACACTCCCTACCCTGGGTTATCCTGGGTGGCTAACACTTCCTACCCTGGGTTATCCTGGGTGGCTAACCCCTCCTACCCTTGGGTTATCCTGGGTGGCAAACACTTCCTACCCTGGGTTATCCTGGGTGGCTAACACCCCTACCCTGGTTTTTCCGGGGTGGCTAACACTTCCTACCCTGGGGGTTATCCTGGGTGGCTAACACTTCCTACCCTGGGTTGTCCTGGGTGGCTAACACTTCCTACCCTGGGTTATCCTGGGTGGCTAACACTCCCTACCCTGGACCCTATTGGACCACTACGACAAGGTCCTAAATGCACTAGAAGACAAAAAGAATGCAGATGTAATATATACAGACTTTGCAAAAGCCTTCGACAAGTGTGACCATGGCGTAATAGCGCACAAAATGCGTGCTAAAGGAATAACAGGAAAAGTCGGTCGATGGATCTATAATTTCCTCACTAACAGAACACAGAGAGTAGTCGTCAACAGAGTAAAGTCCGAGGCAGCTACGGTGAAAAGCTCTGTTCCCCCAAGGCACATTTACTAGCTCCCATCTTGTTCCTCATCCTTATATCCGACATAGACAAGGATGTCAGCCACGCACCGTGTTTCCTTTGCAGATGACACCCGAATCTGCATGACAGTGTCTTCCATTGCAGACACTGAAAAGCTCCAGGCAGACATAAACCCAAAAATCTTTCAGTGGGCTGCAGAAAACAATATGAAGTTCAACGATGAGAAATTTAAAATTACTCAGATATGGTAAACATGAGGAAATTAAATCTTCATCAAGTACAAAACAAATTCTGGCCCAAAATAGAGCGAAACCAACGTCAAAGACCTGGAGTGATCATGTCGGAGGATCTCACCTTCAAGGACCATAACATTTTATCAATCGCATCTGCTAGAAAATGACGATGGATAATGAGAACCTTCAAAACTAGGGAGGCCAAGCCCAAGATGACACTCTTCAGGTCCACTTGTTCTATCTAGGCTGGAATATTTGCTGCACACTAACAAACACCTTTCAAGGCAGGTGAAATTGCCGACCTAGAAAATGTACAGAGAACTTTCACGGCGCGCATAACGGAGATAAAACACCTCAATTATTGGGAGCGCTTGAGGTTCCTAAAACCTGTATTTCCCCGGAACGCAGGAGGGAGAGATACATGATATATACACCTGGAAAATCCTAGAGGGACTAGTACCGAAACTTGCACACGAAAAACACTCACTACGAAAGCAAAAGACTTGGCAGACGATGCACCATCCCCCCAATGAAAAGCAGGGGTGTCACTAGCACGTTAAGAGACCATTCAATAAGTGTCAGGGGCCCCAGACTGTTCAACTGCCTCCCAGCACACATAAGGGGGATTACCAACAGACCCCTGGCAGTCTTCAAGCTGGCACTGGACAAGCACCTAAAGTCAGTTCCGGATCAGCCGGGCTGTGGCTCGTATGTTGGTTTGCGTGCAGCCAGCAGCAACAGCCTGGTTGATCAGGCTCTGATCCACCAGGAGGCCTGGTCTCAGACCGGGCCGCGGGGGCGTTGACCCCCGGAACTCTCTCCAGGTAAACTCCAGGTAAACTCCAGGTTATTTTGGGTGGCTAACACTTCCTACCCTGGGTTATCCTGGGTGGCTAACACTCCCTACCCTGGGTTATCCTGGGTGGCTAACACTTCCTACCCCGGGTTATCCTGGGTGGCTAACACTCCCTACCCTGGGTTATCCTGGGTGGCTAACACTTCCTACCTGGGTTATCCCGGGTGACTAACACTTCCTACCCGGGTTATCCTGGGTGGCTAACACTCCCTACCCTGGGTTATCCTGGGTGGCTAACACTCCCTACCCTGGGTTATCCTGGGTGGCTAACACTTCCTACCCTGGGTTATCCTGGGTGGCTAACACTTCCTACCCTGGATTATCCTGGGTGGCTACCCACTCCCCACCCTGGGTTATCCTGGGTGGCTAACACTTCCTAAACCCTGGATTATCCTGGGTGGCTAACACTCCCTACCCCACTGGGTTATCCTGGTGGCTAACACTTCCTACCCTGGGTTATCCTGGTGGCTAACAAATCCCTACCCTGGATTATCCTGGGTGGCTAACACTTCCTACCCTGGATTATCCTGGGTGGTTAACACTCCCTACCCTGGATTATCCTGGGTGGCTAACACTCCCTACCCTGGATTATCCTGGGTGGCTTTAAAACTTCCTACCCTGGATTATCCTGGGTGGCTAACACTTCCACCCTGGGTTTTCCTGGGTGGCTAAAAACTCCCTACCCTGGGTTATCCTGGGTGGCTAACACTCCCTACCCTGGGTTATCCTGGGTGGCTAACCCTCCCTACCCTGGGTGGCTAACCCTCCGGGGTTAAAAATCCTAGCAAGATCTCATCTGACCCTACTAGAGGATGGTGTGCCGGTGATGACTGGCAGCCAAGTGAGGTAATTTTCCATATCCTTTAGCCAATAGAGAATAACCATCAGAAAGTCAGAAATAAGCCACCAGGCCACAGATAATCTCTCCTGTGGACATAAAATGAGGCAAACCAGTCACCACCAGGTCAGAGGGAGAATAATAATAATAAATCTTTGTTTCTACCAGTACATGATAAAACTTATGCAGACCATAGCTCACACCTATGACATACTATATAGAAAGTTCCTTGGTTATACAGAGCAGTTCAAATTAAGTCAATTTTGTCCCAGGATGCGACCCACACCAGCTGACTAACATCCAGGTACATATTTTACTGTTAGTGGTGAATAGGGATAACAGGTGTCTTAAAGAAACGTGTCCTAATATGGCCAGCCGTGCTGGGGATCGAACCCTTGACCTCAGTGTGTGAACTGAATATGGGACACCTGCAGACTTGTTCAATAGTCTGTTACTTATACTTCTTGATATAAATCTAAGTAATCTGTTAATATCACTGTTCGCACTTTAATGTCTCAAACTGTTCAGAAAATTTAATCGTAAACAAAAAATCCAAATTTGTGCTGAACTTAAGGAATCCGGATTCATTAAGATGTGAGTTTTGGTGGCCCTTAAAAACTGCAGCGATAGTACTGCAGCCGCAGGGAGTGCCGGGCTCACAGGAACTTCCACTACAGGGACAGCATCGTGGAGTTCGACCGCGAGGCAGCTGCCAGGTGTGTAAGTAAGTAAGTAAGTAAATTTATTCAGGTATACACAATACAGTTACATAGAATTATCATACATAGCAGCATATGTGTAGAGAACCTAGGATAACCCAAAAAAGTCAGACAGAGTGACTTATTTGCCACAGGCAGTGTGTACTCAGTTCCTCAAGCTTCAACATCCGTACACACGAGGGCCTGGGATCTTCAATCAACTTGGCGTCCACCAGGACGCTGACATGTCCCTAGGGCAGCTCTCCATCGGGCTGCTAACGGAGTCACTGGCTTCTTGGACCTCTTGGGGAGGGTCGATGGTGCTCGTGCAAGCAGCAGATCCCGGGGCAACTTGCTGCTGTTTGCAATGGCTGTCTACCGAGGAGAGACAGGCACCTAGCAACATCTGTTGTTGGGGCAATGGATGAATTCCCTGCTATGTTTGTTAACTGCTCATTACTCTGTAATTTGTCTATGATTGTAATCATGTCATAACGTGTTTATCATTCATTACCTTTGAAACTTGTCATGATTGTGACCAGCTCTACCTGGAGCTCATTACCTTTGTAAATTCTCATGATTAATGTGTTTATGATTCATTACCTTTGCAATTATTCATGAGTGTGACCAGCTCTACCTGGAGCTCATTACCTTTGTAACTTGGTCATGATTATGACCAGATCTAGTTCATTACCTTTGTAACTTGCTCAGCTATCAAAACTTTGGAGTCCAGTCCCTGGACCCATTATGTACCTCTGTAATCTTTTGACTACCGCCCACAGGATGGGTATGTGGTGCATAATAAACATATTAAACTAACTAATGCTTAGTGCTAACTGGAGAAATTACTTTATTTTCACTAAAAACATTGAATAATTATACAAAAGTGTTATGAACTTGTAAAATGGTTGTCAAGGCATATATGTAGGTATATATTAGTAATGTAATGCTAAGATATAACTTGAAATAACAGAACCCACTCCAGACACCACTGAACATTGTTCCATTACTGGGAAGAAATATTAGTCATTTCATTATTTTATGATTGCTTCATATAGTTAATATACACAATACAATATGGAATACAATCTTAAACAAAGCAAAAAAAATCCATATTTTTGCTTGAGTTCTGGTGTCCGGGTTCATTAAGGAGTTTTGTTAACCCTTAACAGCACCTGGTACTCAGTGCTCAATATGTATTTCTTTTCACTAATGAAATTAATAATTATACAAAAGTGTTATAAACTTGTATAACAGTTTTAAAGACATATATGTAGGTATATATTAGTGATGGAATGTGTAGATATAAACTGAAATACCTGAAATATCAGAACCCAGACACCACTGGGCATTATTACATCACGAAAAGAAGTATTAGTCATTTCTTATTCTACAATTATTTTATATAGCCAACATATACAATAAAATATGTCATACAATCTTAAAAATAGAGAAAATCCATATTTATCCTGGACTCCTAAAACCCGGGTTCATTAAGAGAATTTTATTGACCCTTAACAACTACACTTGCTGCGTAGTGTTCACTTAAGAAGGTCAGTTTTTTCCAATAAACTAATGAATAATTATACAAAACTGGTTATAAACTTAATATAATAGTTCTTAAGTCATATATCTAGGTATGTATTACTGATGTAATGTGTAGATATAACTTGAAATAGAATAAATAGTGAATATTGTTTCCCTGACTTGACAGGTATTGTTCCCGTACATCATCACGATATTAATTAATATTTATATCTCTGGTAATATGTATTTAATATGTCTTTTATATCATATTTGTGTCTTGTGAGAACTCAAAATTACGTAGAGAAACTTCTAGATTATATCTGAGATGTTTTAAATGTAATTGAAATGCTGAGATTTTAACAATAATTGACTTGAGTTATATATATATTTTTTAATATAATTGTGTAGTTATATTAACACCAGAAACTTTATAAAATAACTTATTTAACCAAGTTTATATGGTCTGGTGTATATATTTTTTCAATGTATTTTAGACCCCAAGACATTACAAGTTAACATTTATATTATTGATTTATTTTAACATATTTCAGGTTAATATTTACATTATTGATTTATTTTAACATATTACAGGTTAATATTTATATTATTAACATATGTTTCAATGTTAAGGTCATGGTAATAATTGGCTTTATATTAATAAATAAATAACATTACTTAACCTAGCCTTTAATAAGAGGTTTATATTAATAAATACATTACTTAACCTAGCCTTTAATAAGAGGTTTTATATTAATAAATAGCATTACTTAACCTAGCCTTTAATAAGAGGTTTATATTAATAAATAACATTACTTAACCTAGCCTTTAATAAGAGGTTTTATATTAATAAATAGCATTACTTAACCTAGCCTTTAATAAGAGGTTTTATATTAATAAATAGCATTACTTAACCTAGCCTTTAATAAGAGGTTTTATATTAATAAATAGCATTACTTAACCTAGCCTTTAATAAGGTGTTTATATTAAATAACATTACTTAACCTAGCCTTTAATAAGGGTTTTATATTAATAAATAGCATTACTTAACCTAGCCTTTAATAAGAGGTTTTATATTAATAAATAACATTACTTAACCTAGCCTTTAATAAGGTGTTTATATTAAATAACATTACTTAACCTAGCCTTTAATAAGAGGTTTATATTAATAAATAACATTACTTAACCTAGCCTTTAATAAGAGGTTTTATATTAATAAATAACATTACTTAACCTAGCCTTTAATAAGAGGTTTTATATTAATAAATAACATTACTTAACCTAGCCTTTAATAAGAGGTTTTATATTAATAAATAACATTACTTAACCTAGCCTTTAATAAGAGGTTTTATATTAATAAATAACATTACTTAACCTAGCCTTTAATAAGAGGTTTTATATTAATAAATAACATTACTTAACCTAGCCTTTAATAAGGTGTTTATATTAATAAATAACATTACTTAACCTAGCCTTTAATAAGAGGTTTTATATTAATAAATAACATTACTTAACCTAGCCTTTAATAAGGTGTAGTAACAACAGTAATAGTCACTGTTCACCTAGCATTAAGTAGGTACCTGGGTGTTAGTCACCTCACACCTGCTGTCACTGGCTTATCCTGGGTGGCTAGATAAAAGTCTGAACAAAATTATACTATCATCTCATTTATAATAGCAAGTTTTAGAAGCATTTACCATAAAGTAACTGTTCTATTTTATATTTTTATTGTTCAGTGCTGGAAACCACACTAGTGAACCAAGGACATTTTCAGTTTAAATTTCATCATAAAATGATTATGATAAAATACCTATAGAGTGGAACCTCGGTATACAACCACCTCCCTACCCAGACAAAGCTCAGCACTCGACCAAACAAATACGACCTGCCAGAACTTCGCTGTAAACTATTTCATGTTTCTTCACATTTTTTGGTGTTTTTTTGTATTTGTATAAATAAGTCACCGTGGGGCCTACAAGTTAGTGATAACAGCCAACCAAAAAAAATTGGTTGGGAAGAACTTGTTCGATACTCAAGAGAGCAGCACTCGAACAGCCTTCTGGAATGAATTAAGGTCGTATACCAAGGTTTCACTGTATATTCATAATTAAGGTTCATTTATATTTGAAGGCTTGTACGTATTAGGCCTGTACTTGAAGCTTCGTGTTTGTATTTTGTGTGTATTTGTAGTCTATTTGTATTTCATTTGTAATTAAAAGTGTCCAAAAATAAATATTTGTACGTATTTGAATTCTGTGGTCAATAATAACCTTCATGGAGATGACCCCAGATGGGTATCGAAATATACACATCAATTAATCATTTGTGTTTCTGCCTCCGCTTCAGTTATTCCCTGAATTTTATTTTCTCTGCATTAGTGTACTTATGTTTGTACAATTGTATTTGGATATACATGGTTGACCTCATTTGTTACTCCAACAGCTGTAATAAGATCGTCTCGGACAAATTGGAAAATGTCGGCACAGGTGAGCGTGCAAGTCGACCCTCCAGGTGCCAGATATGTCATGGACGTTGTGCTCCAACGTCAGAGGGAAATTATGGCCAAAAATTATGTGAGTATACTATATGGGCAGCATATAGTGCCTAACATTGAAGGAGGATTGAGGATTCTGCTGTTAGGTGGGCTGCCCAAATTGCGATTTAGTAAGTTTATTTAGGCACAGGAACACATAAGTGCAGTTATCATGCATAGTGCAAATTACCTAGCATAACTCAAAAAAAAAAATCAGACAAGGTGACTTATTTCCATTGGGGGTCAGTACACTTCTGGCAAGACAGCAGTTGAATGAATGATGGCAGAGGTGTTTTCTTCTTTGCATTACCCTGCCGTGATGGGCGATAGTCATTGAAGTAGAAAGGTATATACAGCCTCTTCTCACTTAACAAAGGAGTTCCGTTCCTAAGGCCACGTCGGTAAACGAATTTGTCGCCGAGTGAGGAGCACACTATAATGGTTTACCTGGAGAGGGTTTCTGAGGTCAACACCCCCGTGGCCCGGTCTGAGACCAGGCCTCATGGTGATCAAGGTCTGATCAACCAGGCTGTTACTGCTGGCCACACGCAAGCTGACGTACGAACCACAACCCAGTTGGTCAGGTACTGATTTTAGGTGCCTGTCCAGTGCCTTCTTGAAGACAGCCAGGGGTCTGTTGGTAATCCCCCTTATGTATGCTGGGAGGCAATTGAACAGTCTTGGGCCCCAGACACTGATTGTGTTGTCTCTCAGTGTACTTGTGGCACCCCAGCTTTTAATCAGGGGGATGTTGCATCTCCTGCCGAGTCTTTTCCTTTCATAGGAAGTGATTTTCGTGTGCAGGTTTGGTGCCAGTCCCTCCAGGACCTTCCAAGTGTATATGTATTATCATGTGTATCATGGTAGTGAGTTTGTGTCAACCATCTTTGATATTGTTTTTATTGTCACCTTCGCTCCATTTATAACATTTTTAGTATACTGTATTTTTAAATGTTTATACAGTAGTGATGGAGTGAATGATGGTGAAAGTTTTTCTTTTTCGGGCCACCCTGCCTTGGTGGGAATCAGCCAGTGTGATAATAATAATAAATTATACAGTAGTGTACTGTACGTATATTGTAATAAACAGAATAGAGGAAATCAGCTCTAATATGCATTATTTATGTATGCATACTGGTCAGAGAGCCTGTTGTAAGTCCAAGTCGTCGGTAAACGAGTACGTCGCTAAGTGAGGAGAGGCTGTATAGATAAATATAACACTAGCATGTATATGTCAGTAGGACCTTCCTAGCCCATTAGACCTAATTCATGGCTCCTCTATTTTTAAGGTCTTGTATCTGGATATCTTAATTTATAAACATTCTGGGTATCTTTAATTTATAAATGTTCTGGGTATCTTTAATTTATAAACGTTCTGGGTACAGTGGACCCCCGGTTTGCGATATTAATCCGTTGCTGAGAGCTCATCGTAAACCAAAATTATCGAAAAGCGAATCAATTTTCCCCATAAGAAATAATGGAAATCAAATTAATCCATGCAAGACACCCAAAAGTATGAAAAAAAAAATTTACCACAAGAAATATTAAGTTTAATGCACACAAACTGAAGAAGACATACACAGTTTGTAGTATATACTCTACTAACAATAGAATACATGACACTTACCTTTAATGAAGATCTGGTGATGATTGATGGGATGGGAGGAGGGGAGAGTGTCGAACTTATTGTTTAGAAGGGGAATCCCCTTCCATTAGGACTTGAGGTAGCAGGTCCTTTACTGGGGTTACTTCCCTTCTTCTTTTAATGCCACTAGGACCAGCTTAAGAGTCACTGGCAGCCTCACCATGCCTAATCACACTATGTATGCCACAGTGATTCTTAAATCTTTCAAACCAACCTTTGCTGGCCTTAAATTCACTCGCATCACCACTAGTTGAAGGCAATTTCTTTACCAAATCGTCATGCAACTGCCTAGCCTTTTCACAAATGAAAGCTTGAGAGAGGCTATCTCCTGCTATCAGTTTTTCATTTATCCACACCAATAACAGTCTCTCAACATCTTCTAACACTTGCGGTCGCTGTTTTGTAATCACAGTTGCACCTTTTGCAACAGCTTCCTTGATTGCAGTTTTCCTGGTCACTCTAGTAGAGATGGTTGATTGGGGTTTTGTATACAACCTGGCCAGCTCCAACACACGCACTCCACTTTTGTACTTTGCAATTATCTCTTTCTTCATTTCAATAGTCATTAGCACCCTTTTTCTCGAAGGGTTGGCACTAGAGGCTTTCTTGGGGCCCACGGTGACTTATTTTGCAGAAACAAGCACCAAAAACACTGATAATATGGAATGTACCGAATGTATCCTTAGATGTGAGCACACTGGCTGGCTTGTAAACACTGGCACACGTGGAAACGTCTCAGATGAATCGTATACCGGGTTTTTTAACGGGAACCGAGGCAAAAATTTTACGTTAAAATGTATCGAATACTGGATTTATCGGATACTGATGGCATCGCAAACTGGGGGTCCACTGTATCTTTAATTTATAAACGTTTTGGGTATCTTTAATTTATAAACGTTCTGGGTATCTTTAATTTATAAACGTTTTGCATGTTCATTCTAAGTTTCTGCTGTTAACTGTAACTTCTGAACGTTTATGACCCACAGGTTGCCACACAAGTTAGTGAACATCTACAGCGTAAACTTGACTGAATTCTTCATCGTTCCTCAGTGAAGCGCAGTTTCACTTGGTTGGCAGTGCAGCAGAGAGTCTTGTAACTTCCTTCAAGGATGACCAGGATCTTCTCCTGATACTTGGCCCTCCTTATACTCCAGAGTACTTTAAGTTAGTAAAGTGTTACTCCTCTTTATTCTATAGTTAGTATTTTACTTGTAGGGGTAAATTAGTGCCTTGGGAAGTAGTAGTAATTCAAATTAAAAATTTGATTTCTTTTTACATTAGGAAAAAAGGACGTGTGCAACTAATGTTCTCCATAAGCTCTCCATAAGCTTTGTCAAGCCGTTACAAACAATACATGGACAAACAGGGTATATATAGGGACACAAAAACCCAGACATAGGAGACCATTAACTAGTCACTTAATAACACACGAAGGTAAGGGCAACCCTTACCTTCATGTGTGTGACTAGTTAATGGTCCAAATTGGACTGAAATATCGTCATAAACTTCTGCTACATGTTGGTTATTTGTGTATTGTTGCAGTCACGGTATTGTGAATTTTTGTTCTTTGTATATAGGTACTGTGTGAGGTGAAAGTAGGTCTCACATGGTACCTATATATACCCTCTGTTATTTGTATATTGTTCTAATCGAAATATTGTGCCTTTTTATTATTTATTATTATAATCAGTAATGCTTTTGTTTTCCCTATAGTCTGTGCATGAAGCCCACGGAAGGTATTTTTTAATGTGGAATAAGAAGACATGGAACGGAGCCAAGCCACGTTATGTTAATGAGAAGGGATATCTTTCAACATACTCTCTTCGAAGTCATGTTAATTCCTGGTATGTACCAAAGAGGATATCAAATTCTCAAAATATTCTTAGTAATAATTTGACCTTTTGACCCCAAAAATGTGACCTACGACATTTCACCTATGTTATGTGAGTGAAACATCGTACTCCTAAATGCCTTTGCTATGTGCGTTTTTTGACACTTATCAAGTATGTTGTACAGTTGAGAATCCTTTATCCAGAATGCTTGGAAATGGAATTGTTTTGAGTTTCGGATTTTGGAAATACGTATGTTTATTTGCATATCAAATAAATCAAAACAAATCAAATCTAAGTTTATTCTCTATAAGGATTACAATTCGGGGTTTACAGATTTTGGTTATTGTGTGGTTTACATGTAATAAAATACTAATTACAGAGGGGGCCACTAGAACACCTAGCATGGCTAGGCATTTCGGGCAAACTTAGATTAATTCTTAACCCAAAATTATTACAAATTGTGGAGCAAGATGACTAAATACTAAGTGACTAAATACTAGTTTGTGAGTTTAGCAATGTGAATGCTTTTGTTATGGCACAATACATAGTTTCTATATTGGAATATCACAGGCAAACTTGTGACTAGTTAGGAATCATTATTTTAAGATTAAGATACGTATTTCTGTGCTTATAGCCAAATGGGTGAGTGAAAGCGTGAACCACCAGGTGGTTTACATGTAGTTAGTTGACGGGGTGTGTCAGGGAGATAAGATGTTTTCTAATGGTAGTTTTGAAGGTGATGAATGTGTCTGCAGTTCTAGAGTTCTCAGGTAGGGTGTTCCAGATTTTAGGGCCTTTGACATACATTGAATTTTTGTGAAGGTTTAGTCGGACATGGGGAATGTCATAGAGATGTTTGTGTCTGGTGTTATGCCTGTGGGTCCTGTCACAACTATCAAGAAAGCATTTTAGGTCAAGGTTAATATTGGAATTTAAGGTTCCTGTAGATATAGATTGCACAGTAGTAAGTGTGGATGTTCTGAACAGGAAGTAAGTTTAGATCTATGAAGAGTGGGGGGGGGGGTTGCCAGGGATGGGATTTAGTGATTATTCTTACTGCGGCTTTTTGTTGAGTTATTATTGGCTTTAGGTGTATTGCTGCAGTTGATCCCCAAGCACAGATAGCATAGGCGAGTATGGATAAATGAGTGAATGGTATAGTGTGAGAAGGGCATTTTGCGGCACGTAGTATCGTATCTTGGAGAGGATCCCAACTGTTTTGGATACTTTTTTTTGATATGTGTTGGATGTGGGTGCTGAAATTCAGGTTGTTGTCGAGATATAGGCTGGGAAATTTTTGCTCTCATTATGTCTGGCAATTAGAGCGTTGTCGATCTTAACGTTTAGTTGAGCAGCACCTGCTATGCTACCAAACATAACATAGTAGGTTTTGTCAGTGTTAAGTGTAAGTTTATTGGCTGTCATCCAAGTTGATATTTTGAGCAGCTCCTCATTAACAGTTGTGTTGAGGATGGCAAGATTAGGGTGAGAGATGACATAAGTCGTGTCGTCAGCAAAGAGAATGGGTTTCAGGTGTTGGGATACGTTTGGAAGGTCATTGATGTAAATGAGGAAGAGCAGGGGTCCAAGGACACTTCCCTGCGGAACTCCAGTATCAAGTGGCCGTGTTGATAAGGTTGTGTCTATTAGTAAGGTAGAATTTGAAATATGCAAGCGCATGGCCTCTTATACATACCATAATGGTCAAGTTTGTGGAGTAGGATGCTGTGGTCTACTGTGTCAAAAGCTTTTCTTAGGTCAATAAAAATTCCTAGCGGATATTCCTTATTTTCCAATGCTGTGTAAAGCAGATCTAGCATTTTTACAATTGCATCATTAGTGCTTTTATTTTTCCTGAATCCAAATTGGCAGGGGTTGAGTATGTTTTGTTCCGTTTAAAATGAATACAGTCTCATGTGCACGAGTTTCTCGAAGATTTTGGATAGCAATGGTAAGTTTGATATTGGCCTGTAGTTGTTTACATCTGTAGGGTCACCACCTTTATGTATTGGTGTAACCCTTGCTGTCTTGAGTAGTTTCGGGAAGGTGCTAGTTTCTAGTGACTAGTTAAAAAGTAATGAAATAGCATGCGAAAGGACATGGGCTGCCCGGCTGTACAATAATGGTGGGACATGAGACAGGTTCCCTGAGTTATTTTTAAGTGACTTTATAATCTCGGTGACTTCGGAGGGCTCAGTTGGTACAAAATAGAAGGAATTTGGGAAATTCCCATCTAGGTAGTCCCTGGCATGGGCATTGGTACGTGTGATTTTACTGGCAAGATTAGATCCTATTGTTGAGAAGAAGTCGTTTATCTTGTTAGCTGTTTCAGTGGGTTGCAGTGGTGTTTCATTAGGTTTAGTTAGGACAATATTCTTGTTTTTTTTTCAGTTTGTGGGTCCCCAGAATTTGAGTGTTTTCCAGGTCTTTTTTATATCTCCTCTTGTGTCAGTGAATCTGCTGGAGTAGTATAGCTGTTTGGCTTTCATTATTACTTTGGTGAGAACTGATGAATAGTGTTTAAGAATATCTTTGTGTATTAAGCCCTGTCTATATTGCTTTTCATATTGGTGTTTCTTATCAATGGATTTCAGTATGCTGTTGGTTAGCCATGGGCAACCAAGCCATTTATTCGTGATCTGTTTTCGTTTTTATAGGACAATGTTTGTTGTATAGTCTAAGTAATTTGTTTTAAGAAAAAATGTCTGTCCAATCGTCAATACCATTTGCCTTGGAGAATTCTGTAGGCCAGTCAACAGTTCTCTAGGTCTGCTGTGAACTTCCTTATTGAGGCCTCATCATGGAGTCTAAATGAGACTTTGTTGTATTCAAGTGGTGGTTTACTAATGTTTGTTTAAGAGGAAGGTAGGGTAGTGGTCTGTAGTGCTGTCTGTGATTATCCCTGATTTAAGGGGGGCTAGTATTTGGTCCACTGTGGTCTATTATGGTTGCACTTGTCTCAGTGAGCCTGGTTGGTTTTAGTTATTTTTGGTATGAAAAGTGTGTTGTTCATATTGATGAAATCAGTTACAGGCTGATCATCTGGTAGGCCAAGGTTGATATTGAAGTCTCCAGCTAAGAGAAGGTGGTGCTTGTTCATTTGTCTGTTTGTTATTAGTGCCTTTAATTTCTCACTGAAGTTTGGGATGTTTGTGTGGGGCATCTGGTAAATGGCACCGATTGTTATAGGAGGCTTTAAGGTTTTTACAGTAAAAATTAGCAAAAATGTATTCTCCATATTCATCACTACAGCAAGTGGTGGTAATACAAGATAATTGGTTAGAGTAATAGATTGCAATACCACCCCCAACTTGGTTTGTTCTGCAGTTGTGGAAATTTCTGTGTATCCTGGTAGAGGGTAGATATCTATTGTGTCCTGCTTAAGCCAGGTCTCAGTAAGAATAATGCAGGAGAAGGGTGTCTTTAGTGATTCAAGGAGTACTAGGAGGTCATCATAGTGTTTGTTTAAGGACCTGATGTTGTAGTTAAGTACTGATAGACTTTTAGCATTGTTTAGGATAGTGGTGGCTTGTGATGCTGTGTAATAAAGGCAGTTACTTTCCAATAGGTTTTGATTGGGTGTCAGATTATGGAGGTTTATATCAGGGTCAACGTGATCATCATCTTCTAGGTTTAAATAGTGGTTATTTATATCCCGTATTGTGCGGTGAGTTCTAATACTGATATCTGTAGTAGTGGGAAGTTTGGACAAGTATATAGCTAAAGCACTTTGGTCATAGAGAGTATAGTCACTAATAAACATAATGAAGTTGATGTTGTCTATGTGTTGTGCTGGAATGAGCTAAAGTACAACTAAATATAAACTAAAAATATAAAAATACAAATTAAAAATAGCACCAGACTCTCACTTGTAATTGCACTAAGGTCTAATATAATGAATTTGGTGTTGTCTATGTATTGAGCTAGAATGAGCTAAAGTACAACTAGGTTTAATCTAATAATATAAAAAATACTAGTTTAAAATGGCACAAGACTCTCACTTGTAATTTCACTAAGGTCTAATATAAGTTGTTAACAAGAACTAGAGTATAACTAAATTTAATTTGACAAGACAAAATACAGAAGTTGAGGTAGCAAAAGAAAAAAAAAAGAAAAAAGAAATAAAAATGGCAATGACGTGTTATAATATGATAGTAAGATGGTACACAGGAGAATATTAAAGTTGGAGTTGAATATACAAGTTAAAAATTGGTAACAAAAGGTTAAAACAAGTAAAATAAAGTTGGGTGATAAAGTCTACAATAGAATAGGGCAATTATAAAAAAGTATATAATAAAATTGGGTAATAAACTTTACAAATAAAAAGGGCAATAATAAAAAGTTTAAAATAGATTGAGCAATAAAGTATTGGTAAAATTTGGCAAGTATAAGATTGGGTAATTAACTCAAGACTGTAATAATAATAATATCTTTATTTACTACAAGTACATGTACAAGGTATACAGTCCTAGCTGACAACAATGACATATTACTATATAGAAAGCCCCTTGTTATGCTCTGCATGTCGGGCAAATTAGGTCAGTGTCCCAGGATGCGACCCACACCAGTCAACTAACACCCAGGTACCCATTTTACTGATGGGGAAACATAGACAACAGGTGGAAAGAAACACGCCCAATGTTTCTACTCTGGCTGGGAATCGAACCCAGGCCCTCGCCGTGTGAAGCGAGAGCATTAACCACCAGGCCACTAGAATAGTGCAATAATAGGATGAAAAGTTTACAATAAAGTTGGGCACTAAACATATAAAATAAAAATGGGCAATAATAAAAAGTTTACAATAAGGTTGGTCAATATAGTTTAAAGTAAAAATTGGGCAATAAAGTATTTTTTTTAAAGTGAGGTAGAATACTGAGGACAAGCTATGGTTAGTTTCAATTAATAAGATAGAACAATGAAGTGGTAAGAAGTAAAAAAGGAGAGATTCTGTAGATATTAAACACAATTAAGACTATGAGGTAGAATGGTCGTTGAATACAGCAGTGACATTC